CTTGAAGAACACGTTTCTTTAGATTTCTTCACAATTTCTGATTACGAATGAGCTGGATGAGAGAAAACTGAAAGAGAGAAAAGAAGGGGGGGGGGGGGGGGGGGGGGGGGGGTAACCACCATTCTAAATTTTCGCTATGGTAGCAGATTTATTAACATACCAGGCACCAGCAGAGACTATATGAACAGCTTATATAAGCAAACACAGCAGTTGCAGTGACTTGCAAAATAGGGTCGAAGGATTCACAAATACAGTCAAGCATCACTAATTGAAAACGTGAACCAATGTGAAGAATTCCACTGACCTGCATAGGTGCCAATTCTTCCCATTAATCAAATCATAAAAGGTATCTTATCTTCAGTTGATCGACACCACTTAATACTTAGCTTGATATGAGAGGCCCGACAAACTATCAAAGCTCCAAAGTAACTGTAGCGAAGGTCTTCTGCAATCTACATCCATGCAAACCTATAACTCACTGCTTTTTCTGCCAAGGGAACATGGTTGCATGAAGTTCAAGCCCATCTATGTTTTCCTCCCATTCATGGTCCACCTCAATCATGCTACATCCAGCTTCTTTAACCCTACTTTCTTCCTTGCCTAATGACTTCCACTTAAATTTGGCATCTAACTGCTCTTCTGTTGTTACCTGCAAGCTCCCTAGATCTTTCAACCTTCCAGCTATGGCATAAGTTCCTGATAAAAGTATTGAATCAGTCGGATGTTGATCATCCATTTCAACCAATACTCTGTTCACACGTTCCCCTAATTTAACATCTCCATACACTCTGCAGGCTGCAAGTAATGCACGCCAAGCAGTGGCATCTCTCTTGATTGGTGGCAGTCTTTCGATCAAGCCTTGTGCTTCCTTCAACAGTCCCAAACGACCCAAGAGATCAATAATGCAACCATAGTGCTCAACTCTGGGTAAAAGACCGTATCGTTCAACCATCCTCCGAAAGCATTCCATTGCTTCTTTCCCCATCCCGCCGTGACTACAGGCACTTAGGACAGCCAAAAAAGTAACCTCATTTGGCCTGTATCCTTCATCCTCCATTCTGTACATGAGAGCAACAGCATTACTCGACCGCCCATGAATTCCATAACCTAAGATCATGGCAGTCCAAGACTTGACATCTTTGCTCTGCATTCGCTGGAAGATGTCGACCGCTTTGTCTAGAAACCCAGATTTGGCAAACATATCGATCAGAGCTGTACCGAGAACTGCATCCAGTTTCATTGCCTCTTCTTCTACGAAGCTGCTAAGGTATCGGCCAAGTTTGATAGATCCAGTGGCAACACAAGCTGAGAGCAGACCTGCCAAAGTGGATGAATTTGGATTCACTCGTTCACTTTTCATGAGCTTTAGCAGTGTAATCCCTTCATATAGCAGCCCAGCTTTTGCATATTTATCTATCATGGAATTCCACAGGACGACGTCTCTAGACATGGTCTCATCAAAAAGTCTACGTCCTGATTCTATACTACCTGTTTTTGCGTACATCTCAATCAGAGCAGTCACAATATTCTTATTAGAATGGAAGCCGACCTTCATCCAGTGGCCATGAATGGATTCGCCTCCACGTGAATCCTCTAATTCACCGAGAGCCGACAGAACCGACAGCAATGTGGTCTCGCTGACTCCCTGGCCACCCCTAACCCCTTCCCTGAACAATTTCATGGCCATTGCTGGCTGAGAAGCTTGCATATAAGCAGCCATCATTGTGTTACACGTGACAAGATCATTCTCCTCTGGAATTTCATCGAACAACTTGTGGGCGTGTTCAATTTTTCCACAAACGCCATACAAGTGCAGAAGTGCATTCTTAACTTCCACAAACAATAAATGCCCAGATCTCAATGCAACTCCATGTATAGCCTGTCCGATTTCCACAGACGATTCGCGGGAGCAAGACTTAAGGGTCATGATGAAAGAGAACTGATCGAGCAAGAAGCTCCGAGCCCTCAAGTCACTGAAAACACCAAAGGCCTTCCAGGGTGTTCCGCTAATGGAATAGGCTCTGAGCATAGTGTTGAACATGAACAGATTTGGGTCTCGGATATTTTCGAATATGGAGGCCGCGTATCGTGTGTCCCGTACTGAAGAAGCGAGAAGCTTGCTGACGGAGAAAGGGTCGTGTTGCAGACCAGTCGTTACCATAAAGCCATGAACTTGGCCGATTTGGGAAGTCCGACTGCAGGATCCCAGGAGGGAAGCGAGATTGCGGGACAGGGAGACGAATGAATTGCGCTTTGGGTCGTGGTGCTTCAACCAGCCTTCGACCTTTGGAGTCAAGCGCAAAGCATCGCGCATCTTCAGGAGAAATTAGCAAAGGCAGGGCCTTTGGCGAAAAGACAGGACCTTTAGGATGGGCTACAGAGGTTTGGTTCTTATTTGGTAATTAACACTATGTTTGGGAAGGGGTGTAAATGGAAGGGGTGCAAGTTTGGGAAAAAATCCCACTGTACACATGTTTTTTAAAAAAATTCTCAAAATACACATGTTATGAAAAAAATTCTCAATCTACGCATGTTTGGGCCTTCACCGCGTCAGACTAACGCGGTGATTGCTTCACCGCGTTGGAGAAGAGCGGTGAGTGCATCACCGCTTTAGACAAACACGGTGATTGCATCACCGCTGTAGACAAACACGGTGATTGCTTCACCGCATTCAACGGCCGCGGTGAAGGCCTGACCTGCGTCGAATCTTTAAAAAAACGTAATTTTGTGCTCGGTTATCCGATCGTAGTGAATTTTTTTTTTATTCCGCATAATTTTTCGTGATCTTGCAAGCCGCCCGAAAAAATGTCGTTTGCTACCCCGAACGAGCATTTTTTCGATTTCGTCAAACTTTGAACGATCATAACTTTGTGCTCCACAATCCGAAAATCGTGAATTTTTTTTTGATTTTGCATAACTTTTTGAGGACTACAATTTTTATCATAGACATAATTTCGGAATGTACTTGGATTCCTGAAAAGAGAAGGTAAACTTATTCCCAAAGGCCCGTATATCCAAAATAATTCATTTTTTGAAAATTCTCTCCTACTAAAAATTGTAGTCCTCAAAAAGTTATGCAAAATCAAAAAAAAATTCATGATTTTCGGATTGTGGAGCACAAAGTTATGATCGTTCAAAGTTTGACGAAATCGAAAAAAGGCTCGTTCGGGGTAGCAAACGACGTTTTTTCGGGAGGAAGGGCGGCGGTTTGCGGCTTGCAAGATCTCGAAAAATTATGCGGAATCAAAAAAAATTTCATCACGATCGGATAACCGAGCACAAAATTACGTTTTTTTAAAGATTTGATGCAGGTTAGGCATTCACCGTTTTCCTCTAACACGGTGATGCAATCACCGCCTTCCTCTACAGCGGTGATGCAATCACCGTGTTTCTCTAACGCGGTGATGCACTCACCGCTCTTCTTTAACGCGGTGAAGCAATCACCGCCTTAGTCAGACGCGGTGAAGGCCCAAACATGCGTAGATTGGGAATTTTTTTCATAACATGTGTATTCTGAGAATTTTTTTTAAAAACATGTGTACAATGGGATTTTTTCCCAAACTTGCACCCCTTCCCAAACATAGTGTTAATTCCCAAACTTGCACCTACTTCATACACATCCCACGGGAAGAGAATGCCCATGCTGACGCTTTATCCAAGCTAGCGACGGCGGTCGACTTCGAAGAGGAACGAAAGGTCATAGTCACCTCTGAGGCACCCCGCGAACACCTGGTCGCTACCTTATCCAGCGGGGACGCCGGTTCTGGATGGATGACACCCATCGTTCTGTTCCTAACCCAAGACGTGGTGCCTGACGATTAGAAGGAAGCCTGGAGCCTCCGCCGCAAGGCGGCCAGATGCTCCATAATTGAGGGACAACTGTACAAACGATCTCATACAGGGGCTTATTTAAGGTGCCTAAACGTGGAGGAAAGCAGGGGGCAATTGAGGAGGTACATGGTGGGACCTGTGGCATGCACGCGGGCGCCCGAAGTCTGGAAAAAACATTGCTGCGACAGGGGTTTTACTGGCCGACAATGAGGCGAGATACAAGGGCACACGTGGGCGCCTGTCACCAGTGCCAAATCCATGCTGTCGCAACCGTCCCTCCGGGGGGTCCGATGTCGTCGCGTCGGCATTTTTGGGAGTCGCCATCGATCTTACTTGGAGTGGATCGAACACTCTTCGAATCGGCTCTAACCTTAGGGTCGGAACCGAGATATGGTCTGCGAAAATAAAGTTCTGGGTTCGGGAGTACGGTTACGTGTGGGGAAGTTAAGCAACACCCCCACAACGCCCTAAATCGGTACTACTTAAGCTTGATAAGTTTTATATTAGTTGGGTGTATTTTTAGAAAATATGTATTTTTGGGATCCCATTGGACCATTAAATGATTTTAAATCGTATTAGTTGTAATTTAATTATACGCCCACTGACGTAAAAATTTAAAGATAAAGTTAGTTGATTAGTTGGACTCGAACCTTATCGGCTGCCTACGTACCCGTTAGACGGGATCAAAGTCCACGTAGTTCGCTTGAGAACTTTGATAGTTTAATTGTATGACTTTTACTACGTTCCACTGAACGTTAATTCTCGTATTATAATTTTTGTTAATAAAATTTAATTTGATTATTATGAAAAGAAAATATAAAAATTTAAGTCATTAGGAAGTGTTTTGACGTATTGGAAAAGAAACGAGATAAACTTAATCCGCATTTAACATTTCGTATTAAGAATTTGGAACAAATAAAATTAACTGAGATAATTATATTAACGAATTATGGGTCTGCAACCCAACTGGTTAAGTTGGCTGGCATCAAACGCACCCGTTCCACTGAACGAGGGTTCGAGACCCGCTCACCCCATTTTTATCGTCCCTTTATTTTAGAGAAAGGGGAAGGGTAATTTTGTGTGCAGAAACCCTAGGGACAATTTGGTCCTTTTAAAATTCGAGGTATATAAGCTTCACTAGTGAAACCTTAATTCAGCCTAAAGAGAGGCGGCCGCCCTCTCTCTCTCGTCACTCTCATTCTCGCCTCTCTCTCTTCCTCTCGATCCTTCCACTTCTCTCTTCCTCTTCCAGAAACAAATCAAACCCTAGCCACCCTCTCTTCTCCTCTTTCTCATCTCATCTCTCTTCCACCATAGACCGAAACCCTAGCCATCAACTAACACCGCCGCCGCCATCCTCTCTCTGCTTCGCCCCTCTCTCGCGTTTTGCCCATCTCCTTCACTCTAAAAAAAATGAAAACCGAAGGAGAGGGAGGCAGCAAAACTCGACTCCTCCTCTCTACCATCCGTCGTGGCCGCCCTATCGCCCGCCGAGGAATCCGACCACGATGGACCTAACTCGGAGACTTCCTCCCTAGATGTAAGTAAAATCGACATGCATGGCCTTTTTCTTTGTATTTTATGATCTTATTTTTATCGTGATTTTGCTAATTTTTCTAGGTTTTGGTTTTGTGCGAGGTGGAAGGGAGATCGACGACACTCAGACCTCGTCGGCAAGGATGGCGAGCCTTGCCGCCGGCTAGAATGGGGTAGGCTCAGATCTGTTCAATTTTTATGTTTTGTTGTTTTTTCGTATTCTTATTTGTTTTTGAATTTCTGGGTTTTCTTTTGTGGTTTCGATGGGAGGAGAAACAGAGGATGGCGCCGGCCCCAGAATCCGCCGGCAACGAACGCGGCGGTGGTTTGACGACGGCTAAGGCCGGTGAGATCTTTTTTTGTTGTTTTTTTTTGTTTTATTACCTCTTTAATCGATTCTAACCTCTACTTTTGTTTTGACACAGGTTTTGAAAAATGGGCAGATCTAGGTAAGGATCACCCTAAACTGAGTTTAGTATGACTGGGGAGGTTAAACTAAAATTAATGGACTAATGAGATTTTTAACATAGCTATCGGGTCTGGATTCCCAATAAAACTGGTTATGTATGAGTTTGTGTGAATCGAAATGGTATTTTTTGGACTCCACTTAGTATGGCTAGAGGTTAAAAATATGAAAAGGGGATTTGTTTGTTATTGAATTTCGAATCTGATGGTAAACCTGTGTTTTTTGTAAAAATGGTTGTTTTGTATGCTTTTTGACTCTTAATGTGCAAGTCAGTTGCCTAAAAACGCAATTAGTTTTACTTATAATAGGCTAGATCATTAATTATCACAGCCACTGCTTGTGATTTGGTAGACTATCGCCTGTAAATAACTGCTTCTGCTTGTGATTTTGATTAGATTAGGATTTTGGTTGGTTTAAAAACTGGTGAGAGTTTGCGAATGGTATATTTTTGTATTTTTAGTTGCCATAGATCTGGATTTGATTTAGTTTGTTTATGTATGATGATCTAGTGTTTATCAACTACATGCTCAAGGATGGTATAAAAGCACGGCAGAAAATTAAAATAGACTATCAATTGATAAGCAAAGTAAATAGATGCTCAATTGAGAGAAGCTTAAATCCGAAATGGACTTACTATGAGCAGATTTTATTTTAAGTAAATAATGTGCTTGAATACAAATGCCCTTGTAAAGTAAATGGCATGAATATAAATAGGCAAACTGATGGATTGATTATAATGGTACAATGATCTAGAAACTACGCCAAATGACATGAACTTTACCAAGAACCATGGGAACAGAAATAAAAGCACCAACCTTATTAAGATTTTGGCTCCAATAACGCCTACTTGATGCTGCTCCGATCCAATTCTTGGACTCAGATTGTAGTAATGAAAAAGATTAGTCTGTTTTAGAATTTTCTGTATCTGTTTTCTTCTCCTCTCCCCCACGAAGAGCTCAAGGAGCTCATTTAAAGCAAAATGAACTGCCACGTGTCTTTCCTTTATTGGACAATTGTGAGGCAAATTGTGAGATCTCCACATAGTTGGTCGGTTCTGCCTGGTCAGGATAGGGTTGGCACACCATTCAATGGTGGTTGGGCCGACGGGTAAGGTTGGGCCGACTCAGGTTTGCAGACTTGTGGGCTGATGAGGAAATCACCTGGGTTCAGAAAGGGTCGAGCTGGGTTGGATGTTTGTTGGGCCGAGCTCTGGGCTTTATTTTTGGTTGTACTCTGATCATTTCCTCTTATGTTGCAGGTCTCCAGGGTTGGGCCTAAAATGAGGGGCTGAAGAAAAGAACTAGTCTTTCCTTGTATATGTAGAATTTGTCATGGCCCATGTAATTACTTTTTCCTTCATAATTCTCGATGCAAATTACGATGTAAGAAATCAATTAGCAAAGTTTATTTTAGTCTGTACTGATTCGTGCTCTATATATTGTAATTTGTATCAACATCCAAAACAGGAAGAGTATTAAATTCCTAATCTCAATGCGTAGAACAATAATTGGTAATCATTGGTTCATATCGACTTGCTACTGCTAGTCTCAACTAATTCACTTCAGCTTCACTTCAGCTTCTTTTTAAATATAATCATAGTACGACGTTACAATAATTATTTTCAGTAAAACAATTATCCCGGACAAAATGTGGTGTCTACACATGCAAATGACATCCACATTCCGGCAGCGCCCATGCAAGGCAACGTAGGAGCCTGGCCGTTTGCCCAGTGGGGCATGGACCTTTTGGGCCCGTTTCTCAAGGCGTCCGGTCAGATGAAGTACTTGATAGTGGCGATCGACTACTTCTCCAAATGGATAGAGGCGGAGCCCTTGGCCACAGTTACAGAGGCCCAGGTGCGCAAGTTCACCAGAAAGAACATATTCACCCGGTTTGGCTTGCCTGAATCCATCGTCACGGATCATGGAAAGCAGTTTGACTGCAAAAAGTTCGTCGAGTTTTGTGATGACAATGGGGTCTTGTTGCTTTTCTCTTCGGTGGCCTACCCACAAGCAAATGGTCAAGCGGAGGCAGCTAACAAAAGCATTCTTCATGGCTTACACACACGACTGACAGGCGCCAAGGGGAGATGGGTGGAGGAACTGCCAAGCGTGCTGTGGGCGCATCGTACGACCTACAAAACTGCCACTGGAGAAACACCCTTCGCCCTCACCTACGGGAGCGATGCAGTCATTCCGGTGGAACTCAACACCCCGAGTTACCGCGTTGCCCATTATGATCCAAATGACAATGACGAAGCACGGTCCAGTGACTTAGACATGGTGGACGAGGTGAGGGAAGTAGCGGCGATCCGCCTGGAAAAAATGAAGAGGCAAGTGGCCCGGTACTACAACAAAAAGATGCGTGCCCATGGGATCACCGAAGGCGCCCTGGTCCTCAAATGTGACTTTCACCCCGATGCCCGCGAAGGGAAGTTGGCACCAAAATGGCAAGGCCCATATCGAATCCGGGAGGTGGTAGGACCCAGTACATTCAAGTTAGAGCATACTGATGGCCAAGCAGTGCAAAGGACGTGGAATGCGCAAAACCTGCGACTTTACTTTGCGGGCGCCATATCTGGAGAAGACGCCTCGATTTGACAAGGACGTGAAAGGGAATGAGGTTTCGAAAGTGTTCGTTTTATGTCAAGACAAGTAGGTAGACATGTTTGTGTTGTGACTAAAGCGCCCGAAAAATAGCATCGTATTGTGTCCAAAGCGCCCATTCCATAGCGCCCCAATAGTGATTTCGTGTTGTTCTTATCGTTTTGTATGACACAAAAGCGCCCCAACGTCGCGCCCGGCAATACCGAGTGAGTTAAAGCGCCACATTTCGCGCCCATCCTTTGCAAAAGCGCCCTAACATTGCGCCCTCACAAGAAACATTAAAGCGCCCAACTTTGCGCCCGAAACCACACAGTGGCCTCATTTCATCCACCCCATAAAAACAATCTAAGTCAAGTAAACGATAAGAACGATGCAAGCGTCTTTATATTTAGAAAACAAAAGAGGGAAAGACAAATACAAATTGTGCGACAGAAAGAAAGAAAACAAAAGCAATGCGCCCACTCTCTACTCTGCGCCGGAGTTAGCGTCCTCGGCACCAGCCGCCCTCGGAGAAGGTGATGTAGGAGCAGAAGGCTCGGGCGCCCCACTCGTGCCGCGAGGCGTCTCCAATCCTCCGATCACGTACTCAGCCATCTCAGTGAGATCCCAAGTGTGGTCGGGGTGGTCCTTCTGCAACCTCACCTTCAAAATCTCGAGGCCGGTTAGAATAGCGTTGGCGCACATCCCTTTCCCAGCCTCCGACTCCTCGAAGTTGTCCAAAGAGCGCCGCAAATCGGAAATTTCTTTCCAGGCCTCCTTCAAGGATTTCTTGGTCTCCTTGCAGGCGTCCTGCAGACTCCTCTTCTCCTCTTTGAGGATGTCTATTTCGCTGGCTTGGGCGCTCGCCTCCTGCGCCAACGCATCCTTCTCCGCTTGGAGATCCGCCAACTTCTTCCTCTCATCCTCGAGGGCGCCCTGAAGGCGCGACACTTCCATGGCCGCATTCATCTGGGCCTCCTCACACTCCTTCGCAAACTGCTCGCGGCGTGCAGTTGTGTTTTCCAGATCTAACTTCATCTGGGAAGCAGAAGAGGAGGCCTCGAGCGCCTGTCGTCTTGTCTCATTGAGGCGTCGGGCGCCCCTCTCGGCAAAGAGGAGGATCTACATAATTTAAATAAGATTTGTCAGCAAATTGTACAAGTAATAGAGCGTTCCCACAATCACAAGAAAACACAAGTGGAAAAGCATATACCTTGGCGCCCACTTGGGCCAATTCGGCGAAGAGGTGATCCCCGTTCACCTCGGATGGAACTTGCCATGACTTGGCGGCCGCAATCGCCAAACCCATGGCGCAACCTCGGTCGACGGCCACCAAGGGAGAACAGGGCAGGTTGATGCGCCCAACATAAGTGCGGCGTGGCCAAAAGATGGGAGGACGCCCATTGGGGCCAACATAACGCCCCTCTTCGTTGAGGTGATAGCGGACGTCCTCCCCCTCCTCGCCGGCAGCAGCAGCGGCGTCCACTTTTCCCTTGCCTCTGTCAGCCCTCTTGCTGGGAGAGGCTAAGGGAGAACCAGCCCTCTTCCCCCGACGGAGTAGAGGCTCCTCTTCCTCTTCTTCCGCGGAGTTAGCATCTTGCTCCGCTGGCTAAGAGTTAGGCGCCCTCTCACCTTCCTCCGGGGCAGAAGACGCCACGCTGGCAGTCTTCGCGCGAAGGGCGCCTCCCTTCACAGCCCTCTTCTTCTTCTTCTTCGAGGGAGCTGGTGGCGCCTGCTCTTGGCGAGCAGGCGGTGGCGAACCCGCCGCCATCGCAGCAAGCCGACTTTTCATTAGCTTGGCAATGCTGGAGTAATCCGACCCTGCACAATGGTGATCACAGTTAGTTAAAGTACAAAGAAGACACAACAATATAAAATACAGAGCAACCTAGGCGCCTACAGACCATCATTATAATACGCCTCAATAATGGGAGGACGGTTTTCCGCAGGACGCAAGTCCACACGCTCCGCGCAAATCAAGCGGGCGCCTTCTTTCTCCGCTGGGGACAGTACAACTGTCGAGTTGAATTCCTCTACACTTCCCAACTCCCACTGCCTAAGGAAGGCGCCTCCACTCTCAAAAAACGAGTCCCTATACGCCTTCACAAAGAACAAGCCGTTGAACCATGTATGGTTGAGCTTGGGACATCGTGACACGAAGTGGTACGGGCGCTTCTTCCGCTTCTGAAGTGATAAACAGTTGTCGAGGGGCGCCATCTTAAAAAAATACCTAAACAAGTTAAAGGTGGGCTCCACGTTGTTCTCCCGACACCTCAACTTGAATAGAATTACGATGGTAATGACAGAGGGGGAGAGGCGCCCCAACGAGCAACCGCACGTCGTCAGGATCCCCTCCATAATGTGGTCGAGGGGGAAGCGCAGCCCGAATCGGAAGTACTCCTGGTACACCCCGATCCACTTGGGCCCGCAGACGCCCACTCGCGAGATAGGAGAAGGGGGCGCATACCACCAGTCACGCGGCAGTTGCAGACTAGTGACGAGTTCATGGACGCGCGCCAGAGTGACCGTCGACTCATGCTTCGGCCCGGCCACCTCGAAAGGCAAATGGGCCGTCTCCACTGGTAGATGGTCCGGGGGAAAGCACTTCTCCCACGTGGTGATCTTGTAGGATCCGTCCGCGGGCAGAAAGCCGGGCGCCGAAGAGCTTGATGGCCCGGCAAAGGTCGAAGCAGGCGCCCCCTCTAAGCCAACAAACGATCCAGGCGCAACGGAGACGCGGGGTAAGTGACGCCCTACCCTAAGTAACTAGAATTAACTAAACAAAACTAAAGAAAGGCAGAGGACTCCTTACCGCCTTGGGTCTGACGCCTTGCCCCGCCACCGGCACCAGAGGCGCCTGCGCCCGAAGCACCCGCACCAGATTCGCCTGCTCCCTGGGCACCTTGTCCGGAAGTTTTGTCTTGTGGTGAGGTCGACATTTTGGACGGACACGAGGAAGGAAGGTGACGCAAGCAAAGTCTGACAAGAGAGAAGGCAGAGCAGAGTCTAGAGAGAGGTCAGAGTGAAGTCTTAGAGAGAAGTCAAATGGAAGAAAGTGACAGGAACTAAGGGAGGAGGGGGTATTTATAGGCAGCGAAAGTCCGCGTCAGGAGTCACGCTGGCGTGCCACGTGTCAGTATCACGGGCGGACTTTTGAGCTTCCCCCACTTTTTCTTCTCCGGGATTTTCGAAATTTCCCGTTTAGAATTTTCCAATCTCCATATTCAAAATTTCGAAATTTCCCGCCAAGCGAAACGTGGGGCTCACATCAAAATTCCCCCCGTGAGGGGGGCATAAGGGCTAGGGACGCCCGCACGGAGGATGCCATGAAGAGGCGCCCACGCAGCACAAAGCATTAAATGGGCATCATCAAAGAAAGGGAGTGGCAAAAGTCCCCCCCCCCCCCCCCCGAACCGTGAAAAAAGTAAAAATACAACATAGGGCGCCCAGAAGTGGGCGTCCCATAACAAAGAAGACACCAGACCTCAGCAAGAGAATCAGTCAGGCGCTCAAAGATGAAGCCATGAGCTCCTAACTGGGGGGGGGGGCAATTGTTGGGGTATTACCCAGCAATTAGGGGTTTGGGCCCCCAGACAAGGGAATTGGGGGGCAAGGCCCAAAAAAGGGTCCTGGGAAATACCTCAAGGCCCAAATAAGAGGAAGGGCGCATGAAGACAAAACGCTAAAGGCCAAAGGAGTCCAGGCTGGCTGGTGGTCCTTCACCTGGGGGCGCCTGTCACGCGTCAAAGGCCTGACAAGGTGGTTGGGGTGTCTGACAAAGAGAGTACAAAGCATTAAATGGGCACAATGACGTGGAGGAAATCAACCTCGAGTTCAGTGAGTATAAATAGGGGCCGTTGGTAGCATTTACGCAGGTTGGACTCTCTCTCACCAAAGTTACTACTTGAGAGCACTTCTCTCTTTAAGGAACTAACTTGGGCGTCGGAGGATTAACGGGCCGAGGCGCCCTCCTCTTTGTGTGTGTAGGCAGGCGCTGGGTGAAGGGAAGCTTCCGAAGTATCGGAGGATATCGCGTAGTATTGTTATAAATAATTATATTTGAGCATTATTATATAATAATTATTTTTATTAAAATTATTTTTATTTTTATTTATTATTATTATATATTGAATTTTCATGTATTATTTTGTGATAATATTTTATAAATTGATAAATCTATTTTATAATAATATAATTACTTACTTTTTACTTTATTTGCACCCCCCTACTTTTTCATCCAAACAACAATTTACCCTTCCACTTACACCCTCCACCAAGTTGCACCCCCCAACAATTTACCCCTCAACTTGCACCCCCTCGAACTTGCACCCCACTTGTTGCCAAACATAGTGTAACTAATCATCAAGTGCCTCTAAACCGTTTGACCGCTTGGACCAGCCTGGCGGTTGAACCATCTCCGGTTTCGATTTCTGCAGGCTCAAAAGCTTGAACGAACCATGCTCCTGTCCTAGAATGTTATCATCATCTTTGCACCAATCCCACATAAGAGGAAACCTAGAGTGTTCATAAACTAGAACTAACAATGTCTACATTACATCTACAATCCGCTTCACAAAATAAAGACACAGGACTCTCCCCCACCCAAAAAGTCTTCATCTTGCTTTGTGTCTATGTCTCAAGCAACTGCCATCTCCACGTGAAGGAGACTCATCTTCTCCTTGAACTCAATAGTTTAAGCACATAATCTGCGCCTTTGACGCAGCCTTGCACCGATGCTATCGGGACTTGGTGCAGCAGCTTGGTTACTAGTGTTGCCACCAAAAGGTTCTAATCCACTCCTTGGACGAAGCCTTCCAGAAGCTTTCCCCTCCTTCACCATTGTTATTTCAACCTCATTCTGATCATCACTTACGCTGAGTCTCCTGCTCCGCCTCCTTTGCCCCGCCTCCAAGTTAATGGCCATTTTCTCCTTCTCTTCTTCACTTCTCGGTTTGTTTTCTCTCCTCCCTTCACTTTTAGGAGGAGTTGCTGAAATAAATTTTGCGTAGTCACAATCTACTTCAGTATCTGATAACCACACCAATCTCTTTATCTCGCTATTCAATACTGGAGTTTCACTGCCAGGTTTGAGTTCTTCAGAATTAGGTTGCTGCACAGGTGTATCTTCTTGATGCTTGATTTCACAAGGTTCCTTTGGTTCTGCTTCATTGGTATTTGAAAATTCAAGTAATCTTTGAGCAGATTCTCCACTTGACGGAGCTGAGCTTTCATCGGCAACATTGGTTTCTGGACATTGGGTCTGCATGAGGTAGTGTGCAACTGACTTGTACCCCAAGCTTGATATCTGGAAAGACAAAATACAAACATAAAGGCACAAACTTTATCCCTCTACTCCGATAGCATAGGAAGGCCATATTTCAGCATTCACTTACCTTTCTGTACATAATCCCGGTGGGAGCAAACCCTTTTGCTTGTCTACAAAAGCTGCAGTTGCATATCCCACGGCAGACTGGGCATTTCCAGTTTGGATCTTCTAAGGCTTCAAGTACATGCTCCCCATATCTAGTTGAAGAACATAGGGAGGATTAAATGCTAAATTAAAATAGGATTTCAATTCTCAGTTATCGATGATTAGCTTAATGCTAGCAAGTTGCAAAACAAGTTGATCCAAGGTTATTAAATGTCTGTCCAAATGACCAAAACTGCAAGAGGTAATGTACTGGAAACAATGGCAAGGTAATGTGAGAAAACCACACCTCATGTACAAACAATCTCCGCAAAACTGCCCTTGCACCCTTTGGCAACTGCTACAGTGAGTGCGATGACCGAGAGTTTTCTGCCTGCATATATGATAAATTTCATCTTGTAAGTTGTAATAGCATTAAGTAAATACCATAACCATATAAAGAGAGTAACACAGGAATTAAACCGTCAAAGATTGGAATAACCTCCCTCCCAGCTTACTCAAAATGAGTTAGTAGCATTAAGTTTCTATGTTGAAACAACTGAGATAACTTGCCCTCCCCTAAACCATAAACTGGTATCAACCCACCACTACGTACCATATCCACATCTTATATACCATAACTTTCCCGAAACAAAGGCTAGTTACAATAAACTTGCAAAATAGCAGAAAAAATTCAGAGTACGGACTTCAGAGTTCAGACAAAATGAAGCATCACTTGTCATACAGCATGGAAGCAATGGCAAAAATCACACTGACCTGCACTGGTGGCAAGTCTTGCCATTAATGGGATCATAAATTCTTCTCCCATCTTTCCCATATCCATCCACGAAAAGTGTCCAGGTCCTCTCGGTGCCCCCGAGCCTCTTCACTTGCTCTTCCGAGTAAACCTCCGGCTTGCTACCAGCTCTTCGATTCACACGTTCATCATCCTCTAACACATCCATCTTCGACTTCCCCCCTTCTGCATAGCTAGGGGGATCTATGTTTTGCAGCCTAAATTCATACCAAGTTAATTGCAGGACTTCATTCCCCAAAGTACTCATCAACAATCAACCTACCATATTAGCACAAGTATTTCCTTCAACAACAAGGAGGGTCAAACAAAACCCTAACCCTCTCATGTCCAGATTCTCATGCCAATCCATGAAACAAACAATAAAAGAAGCAGGAAAGCCAGGTTTTCACAATGGAAAGTAAAACCCTACTCCACAAGACTTCATCTCCTTCAGCAGATCACAAGAATCAGAAGCAAGGAATAAAAACCCACAAGGGAAAAGAAGAAAAGGGGTGAAATTTAATTGACCTAGAAGAGCGGCGGCGTGGGCAAGAAAGGTCGGGCATCTCGGAGAACTTAGTGTAGCTTTTGCGCTGCTGCTTGGGTTTGGTCCGGGAAAGTGGATTGAGGTTGAGAGAGAGTTCCTTGAGGCCGAGCTTCTGCATCCTCTCCAAGTTAGCTCTGATTCTCTCTTCTCTCGTCTGTTCGTAGACAGAAATCTTTGGCGTCTGAATGCCAATGTTCCTGTCGATTGATGGGTCCGGTTCCGATGATCGGTGGCCGACCTTTTTGAGAGTCGGCATTTTCGTTTCTTTTCTCAGCTCAATTCTCTGAGGGAGCGACCAGTGGACAGTGGCGGACTGGCGGTGAGTGGGCGAGTGAGAGTGCGACCAGTGAGAGTTTGAGGGAGTGGAAAGGTGGAGTATCAACGGTCGACTTTTCGTGAGTTTTTAAGGTGTGGGTGGGAGAGGGAAAAGAAAAAAGGAAAGTGAAAAGCCTGGGGGTTTAATCAGGATCAAAATGACACTAATTGCCACTAGTAATTTCAAAAATTAATTTTTAGTATTTTAATATAAATAACTTGGTGCATTCGTAGCTCATAGGCCTTTAACCAAGACCAGAAAAGCCCCTATAATTAGGGATGTCAATCCAACCCGTAACCATAGGTACCCTACCCGATCCTAACCGGTCAACGAGGGTAATTACCCGCTTTGACGGGTTAAGGGGCGGGTACGGGTAATACCCGATTTCAAAATAAAGGGTAGGGTACGGGTATGGTAATCGATAATACCCGCCCCGTTATACCCGCCCCGCTAACCAAAGGGTCAATTTCCCTTGAGAAATTTAGTTTAACTTGAGAAATTTAGTTTAGCTACCATTATTGATGATGAAGATGTAGACGATTATTATGTTTGTGTGGATTGTAGAAGCAAGAACAATTAATTTGTTTTGTTGTTTTTATTTGTGTGGATTGTTGAAGCTAGAAAAATTAGAAGTATTGAGAATTTTTAATGGACAACAATATGTATGTGCATATATGTGTATAAGTTCATAGTTTAGGATTTGTATCCATGGTTACCCGAATACCCGTGGTTACCCGGTGGGTAGGGTATGGTTATATAATTTTCATACCCGATGGTTATTTGATCGGGTATTTTAGAAGGCTCTACCCAGCGGGTTAGAAGTTGGTATAGGGTAAACCCGCACCCGACCCTACCAATTGCCATCCCTACCTATAATCATCACTAGCTATGAGTTGAGTTTTTTTTACAGAAACATCAGTTCATTAATATTAACTAGTGTGGGCCCCGGCCAGTTGGCCGGAGGAAGGTGAGGTATGAAATTTGATAATGTAATAGGGTGTATAGTTTATTGTTGTATAGTTTTTTTTGGAAACACGTGATAAAATTAATGAATTTTAGCAGGAAAGAGACATGAATGATGCAACTAATCAAAAATCGGCCTTATGAACCAAAATCAAGTACCTGTTACCTTGTTAAATAATATTGTTTCTGGTAATATGATAAGGTGGAGTAAGTTTTATAGAAACCAATTCCAGAAAATCGAATAAAAATCGCCTATCCCGTCGGTTTTCGGGAAATGAGCATCTCACAATCGTTGCTAGCTTTTACTCGGCCCGTTGGCCGATTAATTTGCTTTATAAAACTTTCATCTTGTCATCATTGTGCTTTCTGATTTTTGTTAGGCCATGATAAAATCTAAGGAAATCAAGAACGAACAACACGATTTGGGATAGGAACCGCCGTTGTCGTATCCCTAGAAAATGGTGGTAAACACGGACTCACCTGCCAAACTGGTTTGGATTGAGATTTTTATCGGGTATCAGGAAACCATGTGATTATAAATTAGACTTGATCAAAACGGGCCAAAACTTGAAATTCAGCCTGTTTGATCGACCCATGCCAAATTCTAATTATTCTTTACTTTTAAATTTTCTTTTTGAAAAATAAAAAATAGTGAAAGAAAAGAGATGACTGCAATTCGCCATTTGCACATCACTTATTCGGGAATAAAATCATAGAAATTCAAAAGGAACTGAAAATGTTTAGGAATGTTTTAATGTTTAAAATAACCACATAGATCTTTCTGTTTAGTTTTTTACTAACAAATATCAAACGATTCCCTATAAAATACACTATAACTTGATCATTATGATATCAAATAATTATATAATATATATTTGAAATGATAGAAATTAGACTAATTGGGTTGGTCGAGGTTGATCATTGAATAACTTTAAAATACATTATATTTTAGCCACTAAGATATAAAATAATAGCATAATATATATTATGCCAGAGAAAATAGCTTGTTTTAAAATGTCAAACCAATGATGTTCATTTGTTTTACTTGATGGTCAAATCCCGTGTAGGTCAGGCCCATTCAACTCTTTTATTTTATGGTTAGCGGTTAGCCCATTAGATACCATGCATTAGTTTATTGTTAAATTTTTTATTTATTATTATTATTTTTTATTTTTGATGAATAAATTTTTTTATTTTATTTTTAGCAATAAAAAGAAGTATTATTTTTGCCTTTTCATATATATTTTATCACCGCGGAGAAATAAAAGGAATTTAAGAAAAAAATTGACACTCCTGGACCCGTTCAAATCCGCATGTGTACGGTAAGTTGGCCCGTTCCACAGAGGAAAGAGAGAAAAATTGACACTCCCTATTCTACCTTTCCTACAAACGCTCATGGAGCAGGAAATTTGAAATGGGGGAAGAGTTTTTTCCTCCATGCTGTTGTATGTTTTTAATTTAAAAAGATACAAAAAATGTACTTAGTGTGATTGGTTATGATCCTTGCTTTTCTTTAAAATGGTCATGGTTCGAATCTCAGTACGTGTCTTTTTAATGAATAAAAAAAAAGTAATTGTGAAGACCAAAATGTCCTTCCTACTTTCACTCTCGTTGCAGGAAATTTGAAATGGGGCTCCCGTTTTTCCCTTCGGCGTATTATAAGTATAGTAGATAGATAAACCAATGAAAGTTACGGGTAAAGGGCAAAGCCCAATGAAGGTACAATAAACAATAGTATAGAGTTTCAAAGCCCATCCACAAAAAGGCCACAAGCACAAACGGCCAGCCCAAAAGATCAATGAGCAAGAACCCTAGAAACTATTCTTCATTCCACCGCACCATCATAGATCTGCCGCCAGGAAACTCCAAAGAAGAAGCCGCCACCGTCGGAAACAGCTCCAAATGAAGGCGAACATGCCGTTTGAAGCAGAACGAGGAGACGACAAGGGCTATGAGTTGAGTTGAAAAGTGATAGTTTACGGATGATTTAATTTGTTCCTCACCAAAATGTAAATGTTTTTATATGAATTAAATTATTGTATAATATGATGGCACAAATTTAAACATTGTTATAGTATAGTAAATTAGTAAAATAAGAAACGTTTCCCGTGAACTATGATAATATATGAATCATTCGTGTATGGTGGTATGGTATTGAGCGATATTGATATAGTTTAACATTTGTCAAATAGGAGCGCGACTCGTGAACATATGATCGTTATCATGTTTTTGGACTTTTGTTTTTCAATGTATATCAAAATGAAAATTATTGTACATATCATAAGCAGGTGGCATGCATGTGGAAGCAGGGGAAGGTCTCACCGAGATTTATTCTATAGCGAAGGTCTGAAAGCGCGTAAATAGCTTCTGAGAGCAGAAATATGAGTTTTTGGCGCAAAAATATATAAATTCGGATTTGATTCGAAACAATACACATCATTTAAGAATAATAGGAGAATCGAAAAAGAAGGGAGAAAGTGTTATAGATGGCACATTCTGGTTGAAAATACTAAAAAGCCTTTGATTGGCTACAAGCCTTGCTGACATGCAGGCTTGAGGGCTAGATAATTTGAATAAGATTTTTAGGGGATCTGCATTCAACCTGCTCACCGCCTAGGGTGATGATGATTCTGGCGTGGTTGGGCATTTGGAAGTGAATGAACTATATGGTGTTTGAGCTAAAAAATGGTGGTTCAGGATGAAATGGAGAGTTATTTACCATGGTTTGGCTGACTATGGTTTGATAGATTTTGTTGTTATGACTTGAACATAGATTAGCGGTTGTTGGTTTGGTACCTTTAACTTTCCAGGTTGGGTTATGGTTTGGCCACCCGGAGAAGTTGATATATACATATATCTCTCTATAATTTATATATCCATAATTATAGTGAAACTGATCTCTCCTGCTTGTGAATTAGCTGACTCACATCGTGTTCGTGAACCATATAAATCTATGTGTTTTTTTTACTTTATTGCATTGTTGATTTACCTTCTGCCATAACAAGTGGTATCAGAGCCGAGATTGGCTAATATTTTAGAGTTTTTGAAATTCAATGATGGCTTCCATGATTATGGAGGTCCAAAAGTTCACAGGGATAAACAAGTTTTGTATATGGTAGATCAAGATGCAAGCACTTTTAAAACAACAAAACTGTGGGGACCGCAATCTGGTGAACCAAAGAAGATAGGGTCGATGATGAAGAGTGGAGTTTGGAGGAGAAGTCTCACTTGGTTATCATGCTTTGTCTGTCTGATGACATAAGCTCATAAGTTGTTGCTGAGAAAACTATCATTGGACTGTTGTGAAGCTGGAAAATCTATACATGACGAAGTCTTTAACCAACAAGTTGTATTTGAAGTAACATATGTTCATCATGTGTATGCAAGAAGATAACCCTCTTAGGACCATCTTAAAAAAATCAGCACCATCTTGTTAGTTCTTCATAATATAGATGTTAGATTAGACGATGAAGATGATACCCTAATTTTGTTGGTATCTTTGCCAATGTCATATGAGAATTTTGTTGGTTCTTTTATTGTCGGCAAAGGTAGCCTCTCTCTTGCAGATATTAGATATGTTGTCCATACTAGAGAGGTCCGATGCAAGGTTTTCGGTTCTGGTACAAACAATCAAGCATCTGGGTTGGCGGTTATAGGTGGTAAGAGAAAAAAGAAATATGGAAAAGGGAATCCGAACACAAATTTGAATTCTAAAGGTCTTGGTCCAGAGCGAAACGATGCATGTCACCAAATGTAAAGAAAAGGGGCATAAGAAACAAAATTGCAATAGGATAAAGGGGTACCAGAAGAAACAAGGTTCTGCTGCAATAACATATACTGACACCAGGTTTGAAGACAATCTCGTCGTAATAGTAGGTGAAAATTAGATTGTAAAGATGTGTGGTTTCCCTGTACTGCAACGTCTTACCATATGTATACGAACATGGACTATTTTACCTACAAGAAGATATATGAGAAAATATGGTTATGACTAATGGAGATGTCTACAAAGTGGTTGGAATATGCTCCATCATAGTACGAAACTTGATGGTTCTCTCTATATTATGAATGAAGTTAGGCATGTTCCTAAATTGACCAAGAATCTGATTTATTTAATCCTACTAGACAGTAAGGGTTTCAGCTTCAATGGGAAACGCGGAGTTGTTTATGCCTGCAAGAGTTCAAAGAGGATTCCAAAAGGTATGAAACATGATACCTTGCATGCTTTGCAAGGTTCTATGATGTTAGGTTCTACTGATGTGCATCGTTTGAAATTCACAAGGAATATATGACCACTCTCTAGCATATGAGGCTTGGTCATACGAGTGAAAGAGGGATGCAAATTCTGTCAATGTGACATATTCTTTGTGGGCGCAAGGTGCACTGTCTTGAATTCTGCGAACAATGTGTGTTTGAGAAGTTGCATTGCAATAAGTTTCCAAAGAGAGTATTCATATGTTGAAGAGGATACATAATTACCTCCACAGTGACTGTTGGGTTCCTTCTCGAGTTGAATCTATTGGATGAAGTACTTTTTTATTATCAATTATCGATGATCACTGAAGGTTTATTTGGGGATTTATGGTGAATAATAAAAATGAAGTTTTCAAGACATTCAAGCAGTGGAAGAATTTGGTTGAGAATCAAACTGGTAAGAAGATCAAAAGGCTGCAAATTGACGATGGACTGGAATTATGCAGTTCTGAGTTCAACAAATTCTGCAAAAATAAAGGGATTACCCGTCATTACACTGTAGAGATGCACCATAACATAATGGGATGAAAGAATGCACGAATAAGACATTGTTGGAGAGAGCAAGGTGCATGGGCTCTGATGCTTGACTAGAGAGAAGATTTTTGGCAGAAGCAGTAAACATGGCGTGCTATCTTATCAAAGGTGACCCTCACACTATTATCGAATGTCAAACGCCCTATATGAGGTGTGGTCTGATAAGCCTGTTGATTACTCTTTGTTGAAAGTTTTTTTCTTTTCCTATTTACTATCATGTGGATGAAGGTAAATTGAATACAAGATCTAAGAAGAGTGTATTTGTGGGTTTCAGATATGGATTTAATGGATATCGAGTCTAGTCACCTTTTATCTTGTTTCCCTTAGAAGTGTGTATTTGTTGGCTGCAAAAAATTTCTAGATGAGAGTGAGTTACAACACCACATTGGAGAAGATTTACATGTGGATTTTTCATATGTCAGAATCTTTAGGGTTCAGTACACAAGCTCAACCGTCTGTAGCTTCTGATCGACCAAAGGGAGCCAGTGCAAAATACCTCCAAAGAGGAATTGCTTTGAGGATATGATGGCTTAAGCATTTTAGGTTGTTGAAGTGGTTGATAAATGATATGAGTGAGTCACTTACCTACAAAGACTCTATTCCTGTGGTGATTCTACTTAATGGCTTGCTGCAATGGGAGATGAGATGCAATCACTAGACAAGAATTAGACTTGGGAGCTAGTCAAACGACCAAATGGGAAGAAGCTTGCAAGTGTATATACATGAAAAAGGTATGACAGCTATTTGATTGAGATAGGGTACAACATAAGTCCATATTATTGTTTTTATTCCACAAGAAGGCTAATGATAGTTTGATGATTTATCTGGTTATATCTGTAGATGTTATATTGACATGATCATTGCTTCGAAATCCAAGTATGATATCTAGAAATTGAAGGGTATTCTCAATGCTAAGTTTGAGATGAAGGACTTGGAAGCTGCTCAGAATATTTTGGTATGGAGATTTATAGGGAAAGAGTCATAAGAAACTTTTTCTATCACAGAAAAGCTATGTCTAGTAGATAGTGTCCAGGTTTGGCATGTCAATAAAAAAGCTCGTAAACACTCCTACTTCTTCAATGGTTCATCTATCCTCTGTCTATGCACCTCAATATGAAGCTAAGAAGGAGTACATATCTCAAGTCTCATACTCTAGTGCATTATGTAACTAGATGTATGTTATGGTATGCACTATACTTGATCTTGCACATAATGTTTATGTTGTAAGCAAGTTCATGGTGCAATATAGGTGGAACATTGACAAGTTGTGAAGAGGATTTTCAGTACCTTCAAGGTATAACTGATATGAGGATCAGTGTTGTAAGTGATATAAAGTGCTTAATGGTTGGTTATTCTGATTATGCTGAAGATATTGACTCAAGGAGATCTACGACTGAATATGTATTCACTCTTGGAGGTTTGTGGTTAGTTGGAAGGAGACATTGCAGGCAATGCAGTCAAAAGCTAGCTTTAAAGCCTAAAATCATAAGCTTTTACACTTTTAACCCCCCCCCCCCCAAAAGCTTTTTGCACCAAAACCCCAAGTAAGAGCCCTCAAGCCTAGTAAAAGCATTAGAAGCTAACTTTTAAACCATTTTTAGCCTTTTGATATTTGAGTATTAGGAAATATTGTACTGGTGTGCAATTGTCTCGTTTGAACCCTACCAGACTAAGCCTTGAGAACCGCAATCCATAAGAATAAAGCATTTAGGACCAATGACAGGACCAATGTGCACTAGGTCTAGTGTGGTCTGGTCCAAATATCAATGAAACCCATTTTCCTTCAATACTTATAAAATTCATAGGACCAATGATCGGACTGCATTATACTCGGTCAATTTGGTCTGGTTTAGGTGTCAAATTGGTCTGGTGCAGTCTGCTATGGAACAAACCGTTGGACACCCTACCATTATGGTTTGCTTTGGTTTTGCTAGCCATAAGAGAAAAAACGAAACAATTTTATTTATTTTTTAGTCAGGCTATGCTTTCATTCTTTCCTTGTACGAATTTCTCATCCCTACTTCATTGCCTCTTCTCCATTATCGCCTTTTCTATGCTTTCAAAACCAGCACACGCTATTCATGCCTCTAGCGTCCTTTCCCATCCCTGCAACTCTCACCCCACCCCTATGATTAAGTTGTGGTCAAAGCTTGTCTCCTTCAAACTTGCCTACAACCCTTATAGCTTCATCATTTTTCGATGGTTTCCACTTCTTATATCCCCGTGCGAAAGTAAGAGAAAAGCAGTGAATGTTTGTTTAAAAGTCTATTAATTTAGTTTGTAATTTTGAGAGTGATCTTTAATATATGAGCTAGCTCACTTATTTGTTTATTTGACATTGCCATGTTGTGATATAGAATCTTTGAAATCTATAGTAAGCAAGAAACTTGAATAATCGTTATGAAGAATTTTTAAGAGATAAGATATTGTGTTTATAATCATCTGGGAACAATAAACATTAAAGTATTGGACTCTATACAAAAATTTACTACTGTCAATATTTGTTTCTCATTTGTTTAATATCTGAATAATGTAAATTGAGCTCAAACCTTTTCCATAATTCACTATGAATCTCTAATAAGAGTTTCCAATCATATTCGGACAATCATTGAACGTAAAGCTCCAACTATTACCAAAGGGTAAGAATAGATTAAGCAATTACAAATTTATGATTGTGATTTCTTGAAAACCATGCCCATTACATTAGCCAAAGACACTCCTCCCCCAAAATTTTATAGGTCCCAAACAACCACCTACTTTCCCCCAAACAAATCACTTCCCGCAATCAGGCCACTCAAAATCCTCACACGTCACTCAGTCTCTCCCACTTTCTACACACTAATTTGGAATTCAAATCCCCACACGGTCCAACTTTGCAGTGTACCATAAGAAAAAGTCTCCTCACAGGTTGAGAAAAGAAAAAAAAAACACCATCCCCTTCTCCCTTACACCAAGGAGTTTGCTGACCTACCCCATGCCCATATTACACAAAATCCAACTCCAAACCCTCAACTCTTTCGTTTCCCACCATCGAAAGGAAGAAAAACCAAAACCCAACACCTTACAAAAAAATTCCTCTGGTCACGCCAACTCGCAACTTCACCAGCAGCCTTCACAAGTTAACTCTCGTGCCATGAGAGCGCGGCAAAACCCATTTTGACTCGCCATTTCCCTACTGCATTAAATACTCTGCCCCTATCTCTGTTAGCTGCTGCAGCTGAGAAACAGAGGAAAAAGGAAAGAAACCCCAAAAATTAAATCATGGGTTTGCCTTTACTTGTTGAGGTGCTCATCATCATCAATTTGAGCGGATTAGCTTTCGCCGACGATGCTGCAAATGGCGCTTCGTTCATCTTTGGGGATTCTCTGGTTGATGCTGGCAACAACAACTTCATCTCCACTCTGTCCAAGGCCAACATTCGGCCTAACGGGATCGATTTCGCGGCGTCCGGTGGGAGCCCCACCGGCAGATACACCAACGGGAAGACCATCAGTGACATCGTCGGTAAGCTCACGAAACCTTGGCCGGCGGCAGGGCATATGCTCTGCCTTCCTTGAATTTTCTGTTACTTATGGTGGTAGGCAAATTCTCCGGATTATCGTATTGTTAGATTATCAAAGGTTAATAGGAATACCTGGATTCTTATCACGTATTGGGCGATCTGGAACTGGACGATACTTCTAGACCATGCGTGTTATCTCTGCATAATCGATTTGCAGGGGAAGAACTTGGGCAGACGAACTACGCACAGCCGTTTCTAGCACCCAACACCACCGGAAAGGCGCTCCTCTCAGGGGTCAACTATGCTTCCGGCGGCGGAGGGATCATGAACGCCACCGGAAGAATATTCGTCAACAGGCTGGGCATGGACGTGCAAATCGACTACTTCAACATCACGAGGAAGCAGCTTGATCAGCTTCTGGGAACATCCAAGGCCAGGGAATTCATCACCAAGAACTCCATCTTCTCCATCACCGTCGGAGCCAACGATTTTCTCAACAACTACCTCCTCCCTGTTCTGTCCGTCGGCGCCAGGATTTCGCAGAGCCCTGATGCTTTCATCGACGACATGATCTCCCATTTGAGAGGTCAACTCACTGTAAGATTACCCGTGAAAAGTGATTTAACTATAAATTGGTACGTTGAGTTTTCTGGCTCTGTTTTACTCTGTTTTTTTTCTTCTTTCCGGCGGTGGCAGAGGCTTTACCAAATGGACGCTCGGAAGTTTGTGATTGGCAACGTTGGGCCGATTGGATGCATTCCGTACCAGAAGACGATAAACCAGTTGAAGGAGAATGAGTGTGTGGATTTGCCGAACAAGCTTGCGCTTCAGTACAATGGCAGGTTGAAGGATTTGCTTGCGGAGATGAATGACAACATGCCTGATGCCGTGTTTGTTCACGCCAATGTCTACGATTTGGTCATGGAGCTCATCAGCAATTATGGCAAATACGGTACGCTTACGGCAAGAATACTTTGTTTTATGTGTATGTGAAATTTGCTCGATTGATCACTAGGCTTTGATGTTTATTTCGTTTTGGTCATCGAACAATCTTTCTTTTCGATCATTGTGTGACTTGATGATTACTATAGTGATCATCGAACAAGGTTTGGGTAATATCACTTTTCAATGAGATTAGTGAAATCAGGTGCGTCTTTGACTCAATTGTCATGATCTAAATGAGTATTGGATCGGAAAGAAACTTGTATGCATATTCAATGATTTTGACCTTTGGTTGGGTTTGAATTGAGTTCAATTTGGGTAAATTCATTTAGATTTATACTCAAATGATCTATTTGGATACTTATGATTATACTTTAAAAAAAAAGACAATATCGATAAACTCATTAACTCTCTTCAACCCAATTCCCGACATTGAAAATTTAAAATTTTCTTAAAACCCATCCCAATGCTGATTTTAATATCCCCCGACTCATAAGCCTTCTCACGGTATAAGAAAACTGTGTAACCTATCTTCCATTGGTCTCCCAACTTAATAGTTATATTCAATCACACAGGACCAGCTCTGATTTAGTACTAGTTTCACTTGACGATTCATATATGATTGATGCCAACGATTGATTAACTTTTTTTGTTTTTGTTTTATGAAGGATTTGCGACGTCAAGTAGGGCATGTTGTGGAAATGGAGGGCAATTCGCTGGGATAGTTCCATGTGGACCAACATCAAGTATGTGCGCAGATCGTTCGAAGCACGTGTTTTGGGATCCATACCATCCGAGTGAGGCTGCCAATGTGATCATCGCTAAACAACTTTTGGATGGAGACACTAAATACATCTCTCCCATGAACCTTAGGCAGCTAAGAAACCATTGACCAATTGCATGAAAGAAGAAGAAGAATAAGAAGAAAAAACTACTTTGGCATTGGAGTAAGAAATTGTTTTTGGGTCTTAATTTGTGTGTGTGAAATTGGAACGGATGGTGCATGCATGAGTGTTTTAGTTTCACAAGTGGGATTTGTATGTTTTTATAGGTTATTTTGTTTGTTATTTTCCTCTTTTGAACAACAGCCGAATTACTTTTATCTCTTACAATTTATTTCCAAATCTTTTGTGAGTATCCAAAATACTCATTTAAAGAGAGAGAAAAAAGACGAGTGCTCTCTCCTCTCTTCTAAGCTTCTGCCAGTTTCTCGGTCGACATCTTTTCTCGGTGATCCTCGTCTTGCTTGAGGTAAGTTTACAGAAAGCTGGATTAGAATGGGAAAGGAGCGGCAGGCCGGCCTTGGATTACCAGCTGGGAAAGATCTGCGTGCGTCGCCGACACGGGGAATAGAACAATCACTCGGGGACGAAAATGCTTCTAGCGTCGTCTGCTCTGCCAAAATGGTCGTACCCACATGCTAGGGTATTTTACGGGCAAGAGAAAGTTAGTGATGATCCTAACAGTCGATTATGCAATTCATCAACAGGCTGGCGATGATGAAGAACATGAGCAGAGCAGCTGCGGCGAAGTTGGCGAAGGTTTTCGTCAGCCGTCGGTGAATTTCATGAGCCGGAGCCGGCAGTGACGAGCAGACATATTAGGGGTTAGGGCAATGGGTTGGGGCGACTGTTTGGGGTAAGGGGGGCAATATTGTCTGTTTGGTTAATTTAGGGCGAAAATTTTAAAAAGTTAGGGCGTTAAATAGGAATCCAGTTTTACATCAGGGGAGCTACAATTTGGGGTTTTTAAATGATAAGAAGATATTTAATAATATATCTTCAAACGATAATAATCCCTTTCCACAACGTAACATCTTGGAGATAGACCACCACTTGAGTCCTATTTGGGGCGGGCACTAGAAGTGGTGACCACTTTAAAAGAGCGCTATTCACCCGCTCTCTCTGTACTACGTTGCGGAAGACAGTAGGGCAACGCGCTGAATGCTGCAGGGCTTGTCAACCGGTGTCGTCCTCGTTCAGGTAAAATGGTGAAGGCTCTACGCCGACCGCAGTCCTGTCAACATTATCTCTTTCTTTCTACTTTTCCTCAGTCAATTTTGAAGGCCCCATGTCTGCCTACGTACCATGCATGGCCGCGCCAACTCCATTATACCCATCGCCAATCTTCTACGATTTAAGTAGGGAAGAACGTTGGTATATGGAAGAATGATTTTAACTCTCATTTGCATGTGCTCAGGTCGAAACAATTGCCCATGTGAATAAAGATCAAATCGTCCAATTTTCAATGGAGGAGGTCCAATCGGCTACGTTCAGGGCTTCCCGTACATTGTTGGGGCGGATTTTCACCGATAGCAAGACCACGGTGGCTGATCTTCGAGTTTATGGTCCAATCGGCTACAAAAAAGTTGGGTTTTAAAATATATGATGAAGCTGATGACATGCTGCCGTTTTATGGTCCTCCATGATCGGTCTGGGTGAATAGATATTAAAGCAATCATCAAGCTACTTTGGCTCCCATCGCTCACTGTTTGGCGCTTGATGGGGTGCGTACTGACAATTTGGGCAAACGGGGTCATCCTCATGCAGCTGCTCAGTCTGTTCTTCCTTCTCCGAATCAAAGAAGTAATGCTCGTCGAGAGAATAGTCCTCGGGGTTTTGTGATTGCTCGTACGCCCAAAATTGCTCAACTAGAGGGACAGAAGCGCAACTTGCGTGATGGGGATGGGATTGCTGCTAAGAATGATGCTCCCCGCCGGACTCGTGTTGTTAAGACTGCTGATAAAAAACAAGGGGCTATGTCTCATTCGAACATGGCTGCTCGGGAGAACAGGTACCCTCACAGCTCCAGGCAGCAGACGAAGAAGGTAGCTCAGTCGAAGAAGGCAGATACGAGCTCTCAACAACTGCATGAACCCGACTTCAATTTGGACTGCTGCGGGTCCAGCTCGCTGTCAAAAGTTGCCGATCCAAGATGATGAGGATGGTGCAAAGCACCCAGGGTCATACGTCTCATCGTCGTCCTTTGCGGAGTACACATACTATTACCTCTGCTGAAAAAGGGAAGGGAAAGTTAATCGATGTCCCTCTCCCAGCCTCTGGTGACTACAAAAAACAGGAAGTCCCTCCAGCTCCCTGGACCCGATCTTTTGCTCGGCTGTTGGGTAGGCCTCGGTCGTCTTCTGCTAGCTCCGAACAGCCTGCTACGGTCCAGTCGGGGGGTAAGCAAGCAGACTCAGCTTATGCAATTGCTTGCTAGGGGTTCTTCTCCGACCCATCATCGTTCCCCGATGGAACCCACTCTTGTTGATGGTATTCTCGCTGGCCAGGTCCTAACAGATTGTGAGGCTACTTTGTCAGAAAATGATGAGGCCAATCTGGGGGCTCGATCGAAAAAGCACTCATATGAGCTGCGAAGGCGTGGTGGCCATGTTCGTCAGTTGGTGGATGCTTTTGAAGCTGGTCGACTGGACAAGACGGAGGCGGCAGTTGTCATCTAGGACGGGCTCCTGGATTGCCAAGGGATGATGAGGAGAATATGATTCTGAAGCTGAATGAATATGACACTAATATGACTGGTGCAGAGTCAGGAGGAAGAAAACATGCTATCGAGGAGATTACAGATGCTATCGAAGCTAGCCCTTCTTCTAAGAGAAAATTTGTCGAGGTACCTGCAGAGGATGATGCTAAGGTGGAGGAAGCTAGCCTTGACTGGAATCAGGAAGATAAACGAGGCTTCTGGCTTGGAATGTGTGGGGAATTGGACCCTCCCTCACATTCCAAACTCTTGTAGGGTTGGTTCGTACGAATAATACGGAGCTTGTTTTCTTTTTTGAAAAAGGTCGTCTCGGATAGTAGTTTCCCGTCGTATGCGGGGTTTATGATTTGAGTCTCGTTGTTTCTTTGTCGATGATTTTAATGCATCTGGTGTTCTTGTAGTAGCTTGGTCCCCCAGAGTTGATGCTTCGGTGTTTTTTCATTTCGATTTTGAATTCGTCTCCAAGTTAATGAAATGGACTTTTCTTATGTTGTGCTCTGCGTCTATATTAGCTGCACGGAATCAATAAGAGCCACCCAATTGGTCCAACTTCGCACCATTGGTGAAGAAATTCATCTACCCTTTGTGATCATAGGTGATTTCAACGTGACGATGAATGAAAATGAAAAAGATGGTGGTAACCCATGTAATGCAGCCCAATCCCTTGATCTTCGTAACTTTGTCCATGATTTAGGTCTCCATGACCTAGGATTCCAAGGCGATCAATTCACTTGGACAAATAGACGAATGGGCACTACTTGCATTCATGAGAGACTGGACAGAGCTTTGTGCGCCCAGGCTAGTCAAACATTTTACGGACAAGGGTTCTGATCATCGTGCTCTGCTCCTCTCCGACAAACTCTTTATCCGAAGTATTCGAAGGGAGAACCTTATTGGTCAAAGTACATAAGCGGGAAAAACATATAAGGACCTGGACGACTATACTAAGGGAAATAGTATCCCAAAGAATCAAGGACAATTGTAGTAAGCCGGTGAGTTAGGAAACACTGTGATACAAGTAACGTCGGTCGGACCGTGCAGATAGAGATACTTGTGCATATAATGTGAAGCCTGGGACCTATTGTCAGGTTGGTCTAGTCCAAATGGGCGCTATAGAGGCCTGAGCTGGTGGAATCAACAAGTGACCGTAGAATGATATTCAAGCCTCTTTGACAACGAAGTTACCAAGGATGGAGAGATCAAAACCTAGCCAGCATAGGGAGCAAGATGTCCTTACAAAGTCATAGAGTGAAATATGATTTCTTCGTATAAGAGTGTACAAGGACCTAGGTGACCTACATGGTCAACCACGACTGCGATTACGTTGAAAGAGTTTTGCACTCAAACAAGAAGGAGGTTAAGCCTCCATCAGTAATCTTGTGGTTCGAAGTGGCATTACCTGCTTATGTACCAAATGATGGAGATAGTGTATGCCCTACATACGTTCGAAGTACATGACGGATGTGAAGGGGGTAAGAAGCATCATACAAAAGGGTATTACCAAGCAAGTCGAACGCTCACCATGGACGTTTATATCATGAAGTTCAAGGAGTTGCATCAATAGTTTTGAAAAGGAGAACGGTATAGGTCAAAATACTGGTGAATTATAAGGTGACGTCACTTAAGGAGTCTTAAGAGGAGACCTTGAGGAACCGCGACAATCACAAGATGTTTTGAGTAAAGCACAACCACATCGAAGTCGTCTATGAGTGGAGACTTTGATAGTTGTAAGAGCTAATAGCTAGTTCACCAAGTTTTCTATACGAAATGGTTGAGCTACCGGTCAGCTAAAATCACATCTTATTGGAGGGAAGGATGTATAGCTCAATGTCGTACAAATTAAGGGAGGTACAATTCCTTGTAAGAAGATTATCACAAGTGAAACTTGGAGTCGTCACAATGAACAAATTTCGAGGTCGAAATATTTCTTAAGGAGGGGGAAAATGTGAAACAACTACCAGGTAAATTGGATTTAGGTTCAACAACTACCAGGTAAATAGGATCAACATGTCCAGTCAAATCAGCATTTTGTTTCATCACTTTTGGATCAAGTTGTGAAACAAAAAGGGTAGTGAGTGACTCAAGGTTACACGAGTGCTACCAGCTAAGGAAATATAAATGATCAAGGGTTATCAAGGAAGTTGTTATGGTAAGAATAAATGATCTTGGGAAGGAAGTATAAGAAGGATGTTGATAGAAGGATGAGTTCCGAGCAAATTTCGTGGACAAAATTTTTATAAGGGTGGAGGAAATGTAACAACCCGACATTTGAGTTCAGGTTCGATCAAAATACGTGAACGGTTGGGTTAATGGTCACGTACAAAGGGTTGCAACCGTAGATTATGAATTGATCAACCAGATCCCTGGAGAATTGAGCAAGCCGTGGGTCTCGGATCCGCTGTTGGTAACAGACCAAACGCTTGGATGATTTGACATGGAGCTGGGGCGATTGTTCCATGGAGGTAATAATCAACGGCAGGGGTTTTTCTTTGTGGCAATTGGATTCTTAGGGTTTTCATCTATTTGCTTTAATTTTCCCGGTTATGTCTTGGTGCAAGTTGGGTTTGGATTTGTTGTGCTGTCATGCCCGCTCTGGTTCATTATCACTGTCCTTTTGTCGGTCTCCATGGGTGTCAGGATGGTCGAGGTAAGGGTTAAATCCTCCTTGC